GCAATGCCAATATACTAGCGGTCTTTAGCGGATACAGCAATACTAACGATGCTTACCACCCCACGGCTCCCTCGCCCGATGGGGCTGGCGCTTACCGCACAATGACTGCGGCCTTAAAAATGGCCGGGCTATCTCCTGAAGACATTGGCTATATCAATGCGCACGGCACTGCCACCATTAATAATGATGCAGCCGAAGGAAAGGCCATCCAGGATATATGGAACGGGCAGCCGCCACCGTTTAGTGCTACAAAACCATTTACCGGTCATACGCTTGCAGCTGCGGGGGCTATTGAAGCCATCTTCAGCATCCTGGCCATGCAACATTCTTTTGTGCCTGCCAACCTGAATTTTAGTACACCTATGGAAGAACTGTCCATCCGCCCGGCAGCGACTGTCATCGAACAAAGGGATATGCATCATGTGGTCAGCAATTCATTTGGCTTTGGCGGTAATAATGTATCCTTAGTTTTCAGCCGTCCATGAACCAGCCGCTTTATATCCAATCAGCCGTAGCCATTTCTCCGCAGCCTACTTTTAACCGGCAGGATTTTCTGCAAACAGTAGTAAGCAGTGCTACCGGAAAGCTATACGTTACAGAACCGGATTACCGCCCGTTTATCAACCCGGTAGCTATTCGCCGGATGAGCCGTTTAATGAAGATGGCCATTAGTGCTGCGGTACAATGTATCAACGAAGCGGAGCTAATGGCTCCTGATGCGATCATCACCGGCACCGGCCGCGGCAGCATGACGGATACGGAACATTTCCTGAATGATATGATCCGGCTGGAAGAAGGGGCGATGAACCCGACCTCCTTTATTCAATCAACGTATAATTCGCCGAACGGGTGGATCGCCATGCTGTTGAAGTGCACCGCTTATAACCAAACCTATGTTCATCGCGGCAGCTCACTGGAACTCGCCCTGTTGGATGCACAATTGATCCTGGCGGAAGGTGGTGAGGACACCCGGAATGTACTGGCTGGCAGCTACGATGAGCTTACAGATGATTACTTCCTGGTGAAGGGAAAGATCAATTACTGGAAAGACATTATCCCACCCAGCCTCGAATTGCTGCAACATACAGATACGGCAGGTACCATTGGCGGTGAAGGAAGTGCTTTTTTTACTTTTTCCAATAAGCCGGGAAAAGCCAGGGCTATGGTGCAGGACCTGACGCTGATCCAGGAA